TATATATATATATATATATATATATATATATGTACGTGATATGCTACTGTAAATTCACTATTGCTTTGGCTCTTCTTGACGATTCTTCTGCCACGTTAGTTTATCTGAGAATTGTCAAAAGTAGACTTTGTCAAAGCGACAGTGAAATCATGGGCTCGTTTTCAGAAAAACGAGTGGACTCAAACTCAAGTAACATGTAAAGTGTGTAGTAAAATGATGGATAAAAATATTCGGTGAAGAATTTAGTTCGACAATTATAAATTTCGTGAGATGAAATCGTGACAACGACAATTCGATTGATCTCATTCTAAAGTGTGAAAGGAGTATTTTAGGTATTCTCGGGAGAAATACCTAGAATACATAAGTAAGAGTATAACAATTTAGTAGATTGCAAAATTTCTGCCCCTTCGAATTGTGCTCGAAGGGAAGTTCAAAAGCTCGCGATCCAGCTGCAAGTGTAAATGTAAACAGTATAATAATTCCATGCTATCAATTTCGCATCTGATGAAACAGTAAATGACACTTTCAAATTATTTCGCGCACGAATATATACAGCTCCCGCCCTTTTGATATATTTCTAACGCATCATTTATGATTTTTATGATTTCCAGCAACAAAAGAATATCGCACAAGAGATGAAATCTCATCGCGAGGAAAGTATTCCACTCACAACGATCCGATCCGACTTAACAGAATTCAGTTTGTGATGCGGTCGCTTCGCCTTCATTTCTTCATTTCTTTCTCATTGCCATTTGCCGTCGTGCCTCTCGAGAAGGTCGCAGAGAGCCGCGATGTACGTCTGCGCCATTTGCAACGTCTCGAACTTGCTGAGCTTGTGATCGGCGCCGAGGCTCGGCACAACTTCCCGAAGTTTGTCGAAAGCATCGTTCAGCCCGTTCATTCGACGTCTCTCGCGCGCGTTCGCGGCCAAACGACGACGCTTCAACACGCTCGGCGACGGCGGAATGTCCCTGGAGCGTCGTCTGCCTCTGCGAGGGCTGCTGCTAGGTGACACTTGCTTCTGCAGAAAGTCAGAAAATCCCGTGAACAAAATCACGAGAATAGGAATAGCTTCATCCCCGGAAAGAAACATTCACGAATCGTGAAACCTGAAGTTGCAATCGTATTCGTTATGTCTGCCTATGATGAAATTCAAAGTTTGGTCAAAGAGTTGTTCGTTCGACAACAGTTTTAAAATCTAATGAATTCGATATATTGGCAAAGTGAATAGTTCGCTATGCGCGCACGATTAATCATTTCGAGATAACGAGTTGTGCAATGATGACACGAGTAATATAAAAATTCGACGATCTATTCAATCTGTAGATTGCTTATTTTCTAATCGATGCTTTTTGTGCAAAACTGCTTAGTTTTGGACTTAGCTCTCAGAGTTGAAAATTTCTACGCGCAATGCTAGTTTTACACTGAGTTATAATAATACGAGAAATATAAAAATTCGACTTTCTTCGAAGAAGAAGAAGAAAAAAAAAAAGTACTGAATACACTTCTAATATATGCTTAATCATCATCTAATGGCGAAATTTAAAAAAAAAATTGCAAAATATCCTTTCATCGTTATCAAATGATATCGAGCCAATTATTTAGGAAAGGACGTTTTATTTTTAAACCATCAAAAATATTTTATATTCCGTTCTCAAATACATCTTCCTGAGTCTCGAATTTTTATATTATCCGCGTTATTATTGTTTGTGAGCGATTCAAAATGATTCTCGGTCAAATGGCCATGAA